TCAGGGTCCCAAGACCTCGATGGGGTCTCTTGGGGTTCCCAAACCCATCGGGGAGCATAGGGAGAACATCAGGGCCCCAAGACCTTCATGGGGTCTCTTGGAGTTCCCAAACTCATCGGGAAGCATAGGAGGAGCGTCAGGGTCCCAAGACCTCGATGGGGTCTCTTGGGGTTCCCAAACCCATCAAGGAACATAGGGGGAGCATCAGGGTCCCATGACCTCGATGGGGTCTCTCGGGGTTCCCAAACCCATAGCAGGGCACATTGCGGGGCATCAGGGTCCCCAACATCTCCCTGTTTTTTGCATTGCAGCCGCTGTTTCCGGGACCCGACGTTCCCGCGGGGACCACGTCACCTGCAACCAGAGGCAGATTCGGGGGCAGGATCTGCCCCGGAGGGCAGTAACAAGGAGTAATCACCCACCCCGCTCCATCCCGACCAGCACCCGCCTCATCCCCGCKCCGGAGCGTGCGGTTTCAGGGAACACCCTGCGATGTTTTTCTCTTCCCGCCGGGATTTCGACAGCGCCGCCGGAGCAGAACGCGCCCAGCTGCCCCAAAACGCCGGAAAATGTCTTTCTTGCCTTATTTTTTTCCAAAAAACCACCACGTTGAGGGTGCTGCCGGGGTCCCCGCGGGYGGGCGAGCGCGCTCCGCCCAGCCCATCCCGGGAAGGTTTTTTATTTCCCTAATAAAACCCTGGAGGAAGCGTGGCCGGGCGCGGGGCTCCGTGCATCGGTCGGTGTGAGGAGGAGGAGGAGGCCGAAGGGCGGCGCTCACGGCGCCCGGCACTTGACGCCGGCGTCCTCGGCGTGGCCGCAGTTGGTCTTGCCCCAGCTGGAGAAGCTGCAGTGCAGGAGGGTCTCCTCGGTGCCCTTGCAGGAGACGTCGTCCAGCCAGATCCTGCCCGTGCCTGCGGGGACAAAGCCACGGCGTGAGCCCCCACATGCCCCTTTTTGGAGGGGTTTGGGAGAAAAACGACAGTTTGGGAGGGGTGCTGGCCAGCGGTGTCTTGGTGAGGGTCATCCGATGAGYCCCGGAGTCTCCTCCGTGCACCTGGGAAATGCCAGGGCCACTGGGAGATGGACACAGCCCCTKGCAAGGGGGAATATCCACGTCCTCGGACAGAGGATCCATCAACCCTCATCACGTCCCTGCTGGAGGAGGGGGTTGGACTAGACGATCTCTAGAGGTCCCTTCCAACCTCAACCATTCTGGGATTCTGGGATCCCCTTGGATGAGAGAAGACCGAGCGAGTGGGGCCTGGTGAGCGTGGAGAAGAGGAGGGTGAGAGGGGAGCTGGTGAGTGTGTCCAAGGAGCCGAGGGGAGGATGGAGGGAGGAAGGTGCAAGCTCTGGTGGGTGGTGGCCAGGGGCAGGCCAAGGGGCAGTGGGTGCAGGTTGCAGCGCAGGCAGCTCCATGTGGCCGTGAGGAAG